TATGGAAGAGAGGAAACTTTTGTTTTAAGGTGGAAGACCAAAATCCAAAGGGAAGGGGGCCGAAATCTGAAAATGGTGGCTAGGATTCCAGGTGGCTGCAATGGTGGTCTTTGTGAGGAAGATGAAATCACACCTTTCTCCACTGACCCTAAGGCCTTGTTAGCCAAACACACACACACCAACAGTATCTCTCTCACACACAAACACATCCACCCCCTACTTATCACTAATCTAGGCCTCCTCACAAGGTTTGATTATGGCTTTAGACAGAGAAGATGGGTTGAGTTCTTGGAAGATTACAATTTTGACTTGCAGTATCATCCGAGCAAGGCAAATGTGGTAGCAGATGCCTTAAGCCAGAAATCTCATGGGACTCTGGCCTGTTTGGCTATTTGGAAATGGAAGATGCTTAAGGATTGGGCAGAGATGGGATTGTATTGTTTTGATGACGATGTTGACAGTGAGCCGGCATTCTTGTTTAGTCTTATGGCTCAGCCTACTCTTGTTGTACGAGTGATTGAGTCACAGCGACAGGACCCTGATTTAGATGCCATTCACGCTTTGATCTCTAGTGATGAGACAGTAACAGATTGGGCCTTGCATGCAGATGGGGGTCTACGATTCAAGGGTTTGTTAGTAGTTTCCACAGGTTGTCATGAGGACGTTTTATGGGAGTTTCACACTTCCTGCTTTGCAATTCATCCAGGTGGTACCAAGATGTATCACAATTTGAGACGTCAGTATTGGTGGAACGGGATGAAGAAAGATGTTGCACAGTTTGTGGCTAGATGCCTTACCTATCAGTAGGTGAAGGCTGAGCATCAGAGACCAGCCGGTTTATTGCAACCATTGCCTGTAGCGCAGTGGAAATGGGAATATATCGCTATGGATTTTGTGACAGGTCTACCAAGGTCACAGAGGGGCAATGAGGCCGTATGGGTCATCATTGACAAATTGACCAAGACGGCTCACTTTTTGCCTATTAAGGCAACAGATGATGCAGAGAAGCTTGGTGTTCTTTATGTGAAGGAGATTATAAGATTGCATGGAGTTCCAGTAACCATTGTTTCAGATAGGGATGCCAAGTTCACTTCGAAGTTCTGGGAAGGACTTCAAACAGCGTTTGGTTCAGCATTGCATCTTAGTACGGCATTTCATCCACAGACAGACGGCCAGTCGGAGCGTACTATCCAGATCTTGGAGGATATGCTTCGGGCATGTATGCTTGACTTGGGTGGTAGTTGGGAGGATCACCTTCCACTTATTGAGTTTGCCTACAACAACAGTTATCAGGCAAGCATTCAAATGGATCCATTTGAGGTGTTGTACGGTAGACCTTGTAGGTCTCCTATTTGTTGGACTGAGGTAGGGAAGACAACCGTCTTAGGACCCGACATAGTACTTAAGACTATCGAGAAAATTAAGTTGATAAGACAGAGGTTGCTCACAGCTTAGAGTTGACAGAAGAGCTATGCGGATAGGCGGAGACGACCGCTATCTTTTGAGGTGGGAGACCATGTTTTCTACGAGTTTCTCCACGGAAGGGATTAATGAGATTCGGGAAAAGTGGTAAGTTGTCGTCACGATTCATTGGACCGTCTGAGATTTTGGACCGTGTAGGAGAGGTTGCCTACAGACTTGCTTTGCCACCACAGTTAGACAAGGTCCACAATGTTTTCCATATATCGATGTTACGGAAGTACGAGCCAGATCCATCTCACATTTTGAGTTGGGTAGATGTAAACATTGATGAGGATGTTTTCTACGAGGAAGAACCAGTTCAGATTCTTGACACACAACAGAAGGCGTTGAGGAACAATACGATACCAATGGTGAAAGTCCTTTACAGACACCACCGAGTCGAGGAGGCTACTTGGGAGCTCGAACAGGTGGTTCGCTCCAAGTATCCAGAGTTATTTTCTTCTCCAGGTATGTCTTGATTTCGGGGACAAAATCTTTTTTAAAGTTGGGGAGAATGTAATGTCTGTGTCTAATATATATATGTGTGTGTGTGTGTGTGTGTGCATATGTGCATATATTTGTGTGTGTGGAGTAGTTTAAAACGTAAAGAAAAAGGAAAATAAAAAAGGAAAGTGGGTGGGACCCACAAGCTATTTAGATTAGTGGCATTGGGCTGATTTCATTTCTGCATTCTCTAACGTTCGGCTCTCTCTCTCGCTCACTGGTTTTTTTTTTTTTTTTCTCTTTTCCACATCAAATTCAAGGCTTGATTTCTCCCTCATCTCTTAGTGTTTTTAAGTGCCATTTGAAGCAAAACAAAGCCCACGACAAGCTCTACGCGCTAGTGTAAGCAATTTCAGATTTGGTGCTTTATAGGGAGTTCGAAATTAGAGACCCATTTCAAGGGTTTTGTACAATCTTGAGGTAGGGGCTCTTAATCCACAATTTTCTTGCTCCTATGTGAATTACATCTTCTAAATTGTTGCAGGACATGCTTATTTGTGCTAGTTGTAGTTTAGAATTAGTTAGAACATGTGTATATGGTTATGTGTGAGCTTGTATTAAATGTTTTATGTTGAAAACTTGCCTATGTGATGATTTATATATGCTCGTTAGGCTAGATGTATTGTTGTATAAGAGCATATTGAAATTCCTTGAGAAATTCTTGTGAAATTAGGCCTTGCTTACTTAAATTGAGTTGGTTGTGGAATGATGAGTATATTTATGGTACTGATGCACTCATGCATTTACATTGGGCATGAAATGGGAGAAATTGTTTTGGAACAAATAGGAAAATTTTGGGAAAAGAGTTTTTACGAAATGGTTTTATGAAAACCCGGTCGCCGCGGGGGTACCAAAAGGTCGGAGTGTTAATATAGCCTAGAGAGGACTAGGGAGTCGCCCTAGCGTGGTTGAGCTATCTGGGCCCCTCGATGACGCTGAGGGGTTGCCAAAGGTCTAGGGATAATAGTCAATCCTCCTCTTGTGCCGCTGCGGGGTCACCAAAGGGCGGGTTGTATTAACAATTTGAAAGTGATGGTTTTGGAAATGAAAATGGGGAGCGACATCAGCATGCATTTTGCATTCCATGGCATTGCATTGTTTGTACTTGAGTTGGTTGGAATGTTGTATTATCCCAACCTTGTATGATTCCTATTCCTATTGATCTATTCTTTGTATGGATTCACAAAGACACAAGATGCGTGTCTTAAGTGCTACCTACTGAGCTTTATGCTCACCCTACTATTTAATAATTTTTTTCAGGAAACGGGAAAGAAGTGGCGGATGACTTTCCACCACAAGCCAAATTTGGATTAAAAGACTTCTTTTTGCTACTTTTGTATTAAGTCCCATATTTTTGTAAAATCGTAGTTTGTTATATTTGGTTTAGAGATTTGTGAAACTCTTGTTATTGTAACTATATTTTGGGATTGTAATCATGATAATTTGGATTAAATGGTATGAGATGTTCCACCATGAGATGAACCATGTTAAAGTATAATGAACGGATGGATAGAATGTTGGAGTATCTTAATTGTATTTGTGTTAGGACAGATTAAAAATACATTTAAACAGGTTGTTGTAGGACGAATTTTAGCGAAAGTCATGCCGAATTTTTTTTAAAATTTTGGCATCAGCTAGGGTCATTACAGAACATGATACAGAGTGTAACGACCCAAACCCGTAGGTCGGAACCGTTAATCGGGTCCTTAACCGAACCCGAAGTCAACTGAGGACAACAATGTCATTTCCTACATCGATGCGAAAATGTAATTATTTATTTATTTATCTTTCCTCACTGCTTGAGTGCCCAAACATTTAGATGTCAAATGGACAACATATGAAATCTGTAATATGATCAAAACACTGTCCCAAGCCTAGGTTTGATGTCATCCATTATAATTAAACTTTTATGCATTTAATTAAATTATACGTGAGCTTAATTTGTCAGCGAAAATCACGACAATTGCAAATATATAACAAGATGGCCTTAAGGCCTTACATGAAACTCAAATTATATGCAAAGCCTCATCAAAACTCGATCTTTAACAAGTTTCATTATTTACATCAATCTAACAATTTTCAAATTATGCTAAGGCCTGTTTAATAAATAAATAAATAAATATATATATATATATATATATATATATATATATATCTATGATGTTAGCATGATTAAAGTTGTAGATCTCCCACCACCTCCTTTCCAGTCCTAAAAAAAATATTAATAAGGGGGGTGAGCACAACGGCTCAGCAGAGATTGCCTAAGTGGCACCTCCTCAAATGAAGTAAATAATCACTACAAGAAAAAAGGGCTTCTACGAAGGGCCAAAAACGTCGTGGAAACCTATTCACGGCGCATTCTAGGCCCTCGTGTATGAGGGTTCCGCAAATACTCAATTTTTTTTACGGGAAAAAATCTATCTCGTAAAAAAATAATAGATGCACCGTAGAAAATAATTTCATTTATATATTAAATTTATTTACGGCATGTATATTTTTCCGTTAATAATTAACTTACGAGGCACTGGATCATGCCGTAAAAAAATTTTCTACGGCGAATTATAATTACCCGTAAATAATCTCGACTTTTCTACGGCGAATTGTAAATACCCGTAAATAATCTCATGAGGTATCGAGAAAAGGTTTCTACGGCGAGTTATAACTACCCGTAAATAATCTCACGAGCTAAAGATTCATGCCGTAGAAAAGTTTTCTACTGCGAATTATAATTACCCGTAAATAATCTCGACTTTTCTACCGCGAATTGTAACTACGCGTAAATAATCTCACGAGGTACCGAGAAAAGGTTTCTACGGCGAGTTGCCGTAGAAAACTTTTCTACGGCGAATTTAGGTATCCGTAAATAATATAAACCATTCTCACGACTTACCATGTAAAAAAGTTTTTTAAGAAGAATTTTCACTTATTTACAAGATTTCAAGCTCCCCGTAAATAAAATATAGATATATTTTTTTTTAACTAAAGCACCCTTAATTAATGTCAATTAATCATCCACTACCTATAATTCACATCACTTTCAGCTATAATTCAATTCAAAAAACATTCATATCACATTAAATATATCAAAAGAGTTAAAACATTTTTACAATTCATCATTTATCAATGTGCCAAAATAATTCAACATTTATCAATATTCCAAAACAAGAAGTAAATCCATTTGTCAAGAAAATCATCAATTTCTGAACACTTCTGTTGAAAAATTCATAACCTTCTAGCACTTGAGTTTCAGTCTGCACTTGTCAAAAAACCACCTCACTATACAAAATCCAAGGAAGTAGCTACAAAATCCACGGTACAAAATCTAACAAAGTAGCTGCATCACACAAGTCTCAAATTCAGGAGTGGTCCATGTGAACATGTCAAGTGATATCTAAAGCTAGTGTTTAAATTAGGCTAAAACACCAAAAGTGAAGCAAAAGATATATATCATCCCTGGTAGACACCCTCCTCTCACACTGCAAAAGAATTGTCTAGAACTATCTAATAATTTCTAAATTATGTTCATAATTATAATCTAATGCAATCTTATGCAATCTAATCTACATTATAAGTAATACTTCTTCTTTTTGACATAAAGTGCAAAATGTTATGCATATTTCTAAACACTAGATTATAAAGTAAGAATATATATACACTTCTTTTACTTTTATAATGTAGATTAGATGGAAAGTATGCAAGTTATTTATTAATATCATAGTTTGAATCTAGTGTCATATTACATCATTTGAAATCAAAATTAATAAAATTAATATATATCTTAATCTAGTGGATAGTGACAAAATGTCCTCAAATGGACCAAGTTATTAGGCTATGTGAATTCGGTGGTTTTGACTGCCATTATGTCACTAAGAAGATAATATCATGATTTATGGAAAGTATGCAAATTGATAACTAGTTTCCATAAAGGAAATTGACACAAATACTGATGGAATAACTTCCTTTAGTAAATATTTGCATTTATTTATAAATTACCTTTAGTATTATTCTTGTTAAAACATCATCTCTTGGGTCTGCTAACTTATGATAGAAGTTATAAGGAAATTGAAAATATTCATTTAAAAATTTCCCAAACACGATTAGTCTATCCCCGGGACTACACTTAAATGGGAAATGATGTGATTATGGCATATTACGAATTGTGCAATCTACACATGTACAAATGATTTACTCCTTCAATTTGGTATATATATACATCCCATATAGCGTTATTTGTCCTTGGTAGTGAAATATTTTTTTGGTTTGTTGTAAAAGGCCGTCCTCTCATGCATATTATTCTGGGTCCATTGCTGTCATGCGGAGGCTTAAAATGACAGCAGATCATGATAACGAGTGTTTATTTCCTTTCATATGAACGTGAAAAAGCAACATCTAACACGAGTGCAGGAGGAACAAGGGACAGACAGTTTTGCCCATCTTCTACCATGTCAAAGCATCCGAAGTTCAGCACCAGAAAAGGAGTTTTAAGGAAGCATTTACAGAGCATGAAAATATTCATGAGAAGGAGATGGAAAGGGTGCAGAGATGGAGGGCTGCTTTGAAGGAAGCTGCAAATATAAGCGGCTTGGATTTACAAGATGCAGCAAATGGGTATATTTCAATTCTTTTATTTTTTGTGGTAAAACATAACAACTTTATCAATATCAGTAACCTAATACAATACAGATTCCTTATACATGTTCTGCTTCATCATTATTAAGATCCTATTACAATACAATTTATTCTCTTATCTATAATTTATGGTGGCAAATTTTAATATTTGAGTAAAATTCTGTTGATATGGCTGGGAAAAATTTTGATACCGTAGAAAGGGTATCAGGCATCTATTTTGTTACTAAAATGTTAGTACTTCAATGTATTTATATTTTTAAGGGTAAAGTACACCAACACCAACATCATTAAGTTTGACAAAAAGACATATATATGAAACTGACTTTATTTTTGGACAATGACATCCAAAGATTTTCGGTTATGATCAAAATAGTAAACAACTCCAACAGCATTGCAATCTAATCTGCTTAATAAATAAATGGTTATTCTAATCGTGTTTAATAAATAATTTTACAAAATGACCGAAAATGACCCTATTGGAGGACACCGGCAATGGAAAAGTAAAGATAAAAATATAAAATAAAATAAAAATAAAAGTATAAAAGAAAAGTAAAGATAAAAATATATTGAACATCAATTTCATTAAATTTAATCTTCTCCCGAAAGTTACAAGAATTTGATTTGTCTTTTATTTCTCTGTTCATTTACTTTTCTTTACTCTTCAATTTTAACCAAACACAAGTTATCATTCTTTCTTCTTTCTTTCTTTTCTTTCCTTCCAATTCTTTCAATCTAAATTCTAAACATAATGTAAATTTTTATACTATCCAACATCTACACATGTTATTCGTTTGTGTTACTAATAATCCTATTCTGGTCAGGATTCGTCAACAATCAAATTGTTTAAGAAGTGGTAGAATTTGTTTCTTTCTCCTGGATTTAACATTCTTAGTCAGTTCATTCAACTCTAGAAAAGAGAAATTATTCTAAGGGTTAAAGATATCTCATATCTTATATACTGTGCGAAATTATAAGCCTAATTAATGAAATAAAAAGATTAGATTGCAATCACAAATTGCCAATCAAAATCTCATATCATTGTTTAGAAGGAAAGAAAAAACAAAATTACCACTTTTTTTAGAAAATGCAGTTAATTTAGATTCAATCTGATTATGTCAAAAAGAAGTAGTATGAGCATAATTTATTTTAGAAAAAATAAAATTAATCAGTAAAAATTTTAGTGTTTACTTCTTCATAAAATTGTCTAGTGTAAGATATATATTAATTTATTTATATGAATCTTATTACAAAATATTTTCTCTCACCAACTGATAAGAAAATATTTTATAATTTTTTAAGAGACTACAGTCGATAAGAAAAAAAAAACACGATTAATTTTATTAATAACTTGCATACTTTCCATAAAGGAAGTTATACCATCAGTATAACCGGGCACTAGATTAAGATATATTTTTTAAGAGATTACAGTCGATAAGAAGATCATATACTAAGAAAGGTAAATAAAATTAAAGATGAATAAATTTGCGATTACAGTCGATTTAAATTGCTTTACATGAATAAATTTTATGAAGAAGTAAACACTAAATTAATTAAGCTAGTGTTTGTTAAAACCTCAGCCACTGGTTATTTTAAACAATAGCATCTCTGGTAGACACCCTCTGAAAAATTGTGATGCAAATATATTTACTAAAGTATGCCGTTACTAAATTAATCAGTAAAATCAAATGATGTAAAATGGCATAAAAGATTTTATGAAATTGATGATGCATTAATAACAGTAAGTACAAAAAATCTTATTTACGAAAATGTGCAAATAAGATTTAAATCTTAAATCTTATTAATAAAATTATAACCAGACATTTGAAATTTCATAAAATTGTCTACCAGATAGGTGAAATTTCCTTTAGTAATTTTTTGCTCTAACATCAATCTGATTGCCTATTCTAATTATCACATTTTCGTAATACACCATCTTTGAGACTGGCATACTTTTGCAAATAAGATTGCACTAGATTATAATTTGATTGGAATAAGATTGCACAATTCAGTAAATCATTTTATTATTTTCATGGCTCCATTAATAAAAATTTCATAAAGTGCTTTTTATTGCAATCTAATCTTTTATTCCTCTGGTTTACGGCTACTAAATTATAATTATAGGATCAGTGGAATAGAGGGAATTGGTCAGGAGGGTGTGTTAGGAGGACACAATTGCAGTGTGAGAGGAATAACAGCCTAGTTGAGGGAGGGAATGGGGAAGAAGATGGATTTGTCAAGGTTGAGGGGATGAAGTTACCGGACTTCGTGGACTACGTGGGATCAGATGATATCAATGCTTGCAGAGATATGTGTCTTAACAATTGTTCATGTAAAGCATATGCATATGTAACTAGGATCAGCTGCATGATGTGGAGTGAGGATTTTGTTGATCTTCAGCAATTTGCAGATGGTGGGAACACGCTCTACATTCGTCTTGCGAATTCTGAATTAGGTAAGATGAAACTTTCAATTGTATATGTCACTGCTGTTGTTAGCATTTTGAATTTTCATTATATCATATAATATTTTTTGTTGCCGTTAGACTGTCTGACATTTAAGACATATTCTACCTCCTATAGGAAGAATAGGATAAATATCAGAAATTTCTCATGAATATACTTTTTGCTGCTGTTAGAATTTCTAACATTTAAGAGATATTTTTACCTCCTATAGGGAGAATAGGATAAATATCAGAAATTTCTCATGAATATACTTGATTAGAACTCTAGCAGAATAGGATATCTAATTATCAGAAATTTCTCATGAATTGACCTTTTCAAATAGTTTTTGCTTTCTTGTGGAGCAAGCTAGAGTTCTTTGATTCTTTAAATTGTTCAATTATAAACAATATAATGACTTTTGTATTTGTTTCTCTTCTAACATAGGTGGTGGGAGAAAAATATCCAAATTTGTAATAATAGCAATAGTGGTGGTGGGCACATTCTTTCTAAGTGTTTCCATTTGGCTACTATGGAGGTTCAGAGCAAAATTGAAAGGTAAATTTTAGAAAGTGAAATGAAAATTGTACTATTATTTTGTTAATTATCTTGACTGTTTATGCTAATTGTTGATTCTTCATTACAGCATTCTTGAATCCATCGCAGAAGAACAATGAGTTACTGATGCTTTATGCACGCAGAAGTGAGGAACTTTCGACAGATCTTTCTGGACCGGATGACCTTACAGTTGAAGGGCAGCATGTAAGCGGAGCAGAATTATCATTCCTCGATTTTAATACTGTGGCATTAGCTACAAACAATTTTTCAAATGAAAACAAGCTCGGACAAGGTGGATTTGGCCCTGTCTACAAGGTATGTTCTTTAATTTTCTATGAAAAAATGGTAAAAATTGAAGGTTAATTGTGTATTGGAATGCACTTAAGTGCTGCTAACTTTTATAATGCTTAACAGGGAAAGTTGCCATGGGGACAAGAAATAGCTGTAAAGAGGCTTTCAAGAAAGTCTGGACAAGGCTTGGAGGAGTTCAAGAATGAGATTACACTAATTGCCAAATTACAACACAGAAAATCAGTCTTTATCTTTTATCCTCAAAGATTTGCTAACTTGAATTCCATGATCACTTGTAAAATGTAGTGGCTATATGGCTCCTGAGTATGCAATGGAAAGCCTATTTTCTGTCAAGTTTGATGTGTATAGTTTTGGAGTATTAATACTATAGATTATAACCGGCTGAAGAAACACTAGTCTTCGTTCACCCGAACACTCAAATATTATTGGATATGTAAGTCTATACATAAATCTTCTTTTCTTTTCTTTTCTTTTCTTTTTTTTTTTTGTCTTTTCTTTGATGTGTATAATTTGACAAAATGTTGGAAATGTTTCAGGCATGGGACTTATGGGATGGTGATAAGGCAATGGAGATGATTCATCCTAAAATTGCAGATTCATGTTGCCAAAATGAAGTGTTGAGATGCATACAAGTAGGGATGTTGTGTGTGCAGGACATGGCATTTGACAGACCAACAATGTCATCTGTGTTGCTGATGTTGGATGGTCAAAGTACAAGTATGCAGATGCCGAGACGACCGAGTTTTACTTCAATGAGAAGAAGCTCTATATACATGGATGAATCTTGGAAGGAAAGTCGAGACATTGTATCCTCAACTAATGTAACAATTAGTGTGATAAATGGTAGATAATACTTTTGTGTGTGTGTGTGTGTGTGTGTGTTCCTTCCCCTTTTTCTGTAATGAAATGGATTTTGGGAAAGAATTTTGAAAAGGATTTTGTGAAAAACCCGGCCGCCCAGGAGTTGCCTAGGGACCACAGCATTAGTGAGGCCTAGAGGGGATTAGAGAGATCGCCCTAATGTGGTTGAGTTACCTAGCCCTGTAACAAGCCGAATTTTTACGAGTTCAAGATTTATATTTATTTCATGATTTTTAATTATTAAGATTGGGTATTTTAATTTTGAATTGGAGACTTACGTAATGAGATTTGAGTTATTGATTATTTAATTGGAGAATTCTTTAAAGAGTTGAATTGATTTTTTTTTTTTTTTTTTTTTCATAATTCTGCATGTGTAATGTTAATGGTGCTATTTGGTGATGATGGAAGAAAGACATGTGATGAAAAAAAAAAAGATTTTAGTCACCATCCATGATATAAGATTATTATTATTGTTATTTGTGTAGTTCTCAAGTGCCCCTAACATTTCCGCATGCCCATGAAGCTTGTTTTCATCCACTGTTTCAGACATTTTTCTAAACTTCCCTTCCATTGGTAGCAAGTTTTTTCATCCAGTGTTTCAGACATTTTTCATAAGCAAAGTAACCTAAGTTATGGTAGCAAGTTTTCCAAGTCCAACTAACCTGAATATTTTTTTCAACATCTGTGCTATGTTAACAAGTCTTTTACACGTTAATTATCCATGGATCAATAGAACCGGCCATATATAACTAAGCAATTACCCTCCAGAGGGGGCATGGGAAGTGTTAATTTAATGGTTTTAGTATGATATTTTTTTAGTCTAAATCCTTTTAGATGTGGGATGCAACATACTTGTGTGCTCACGAATGATTTTTCATGATAAGGCCTGATTGAAATAAATTATAATTCTGGGATTGGTTCTCATTATCTCTGATGATATGTGGTATGTCTGCTCATTAGTATAGGGTCATAAATAATTAGAATATGGAGAAGTCATTCTCCAATTTACCTACAAATATTGTTCTCCAATTTAAGTAAATGTATAAATAACATATCAACAACTTCTTCTCCATAACAATCAATCAAAACCTCCACATACGATGATCCCATACTCCCATGCTTTCAACATTTTAAAATAAGAAATAAAAATGGCCTCCACACGGGCCGATGTACCAATAAGGTAATAAAGTTCAAGATACACCGCAAAATTGGTTACTTAAAGGCACGTGACCCCCCTAAGTATGAGTATTATCCTGAAGTACTATTTTGTGTAAAATATTAGCCTGAAGCACTATTTTGTTCATGTTTGATGCCTTATGAAACCATGTTAAGGTCGTGGTTGCTGTGCTAGAGTGAAGATGACAACATGCTCTCTGCCATGTGTTCTTTAGGACTGGGTACTGTATATAGATGTTTTGTGTATAGCCTGCTAATGGTAGCATATGTACTTAGTGATTGGGCATCAGAGCTGTGACTCTTTATTTTGTGTGTACAAATTTGGACTGAAATTATCTTTCTACGGATGACTTTATGCAATGTATATATTCTTAGCCTCTTTAGATCTTTGTTATGCCTATGTATTATATAAGTTGTTCATGGGGGTAAGCTCTGAATTTTCTGTTAGAGGGTTTTATTTAAAGAAAAAAAAAAAAAAAAAAAAAAAAAATCTGTTTTAAATTTCCTCTAGTACTTTCTTGGAAACGAATTTTAATCAGAGGTTGTAGTGCTTCAAACGCTGTGAAATTTTTACCATATGTTCCCCTTTGTGTATAAAGTCTCTCATAAAAATTTTATAATTTTTCGATTGGTGGATATTTTTTAAAAAGATCTTATATCATCTGCTGTTTGGTTTCTGCTCACAGTTTGGAAACTGAATTTGAGAAAAGAATTTGACGGCCTTCCCGAAATCAATAAATTATGAAAATTTCCAGTTTTATTATTTCAAGTGTCTAGTTTCTAAAGGTTAAGGCCCCAAAATTTTATTGGCTCTCTAAAAGACTAAGCAGGCCAAAGTTTTGCACTTGGTTCCAATTCAGCACAAGCTGTGAGAGCTTTCTTCCTTCCAAAAACTGTTTTCCTTGGTATTTTTCTAGCATCCGGGAGTGACTCGGTCACATTGTCATCTGAGTCTAGTTTCTAAAAAAATTTAGTTTGCTTCATTTCGATAATAATTGAATTTTCTATGTTTTTTTGAGTAACCGCTGCGCATAATTTTCTTAAGTTGAAAATTGTTGTTCCATTATTTTTGTTTTAACCTTATTATCACGCCCTATGGTTTTGGGGTGTGACATAGACCCTGAAACAAGATCTTCTATGGGTTGACTCAAATTAAGTACAATGTGTAATAATACACCCTAGACAAAAGGTGACATATACTTGGATTTTTTTTTTTTTTTGGACACCAAACGAAACACCATATATTTAAAGATGATGAAAGATTTAAGTCAAAATTAAGAACGCTCCACTCGAAATGAGAACATTAGACTGCAAGAGCTTTTGGTTCAAACAAATGAGCTATACTTGGATCATTCAAGGGAAGCTTGGATGTGATAGAAAAAGTGCTCTGATTTGGGCATATAATAATTTACAACCTTTTTTAACAATCAAACACAATCTTTTGATAGTCACCCATCATCATTTGAGTGGCGGGAATAAATGATCAATTAAATTAAAAAAAACATGTGTAACAATTTGCAATAAAAAAGTAAAAGTGTTTTTTAGGTAGGCCATGATTCATTCACTTGGTTATAGATAGATGATTCCAATAATCAAAATCAGGGTTATTGACATTTTTTTTTTTTCCTGAAGAAGCTATATCCACCCACCTTTTCCTAATCACTTTCAGTTCCATTTGCTATTTCCATATTCTCTAGCCCTTCTAGCTAGACCCGATCTCTCTTGTACAGTGGGCATCTTCCATCCGGACTTCATCTCAAAGAGCTAGAGGTGTTTGCATCACTAATTGCTAATGTTGACTATCCTAATATTAATTGTATGAATTAATTATAAATAAAATATTCCACTTAGATCAATTACCTCACTATTATATTCAAATTAAGAGTTATTTCTATATATATAGAAACTTTTGTTCATCATTCTAGCCAAAATGTTAGGCAATTATCATATGTAGCGAGCTGCGCGCATTAGAGAAGGATTCACGTGTGACTTAGCTAGTCCCAGCATTTCTACCAAAATGTTGGACCTGAATATCACAACTCACATAATAGAAAGTGCTAAACCTGAATTCAACATTGTGAATTATGAAATGCTGTCCGTCTCGGAATTGTAATCAGAAAAATAATAATAATAATAATAATTTAAAAAATTAAAAATAAAAAATTGAATTAACACCGATCTATAATTTCAATTTCAAGGAGTGTATTCCATATATCATAAATTGTAAAAGACAAGGGCTATAATCAATAGAGATTCAAAACCAAACTGAAAAACATCATATACACATGTAAGTATATATTTATACACATTTCTTATAAATGAGAGAGATTGTGGGTGAAACATACCAGGAGAGGAGAGAGAGAGCTGGGTTTCCTCCTCCTTCAGATTCTCACTTATTGAACCAGCAAACACCAACAAGACATTCCCTTCCTAGAGACAGAGAGACGACTGTGTATTTTATACTTTCAGTTCAATATATACACACAAATACAAATACATGTGTGTGTGCGCGCGACTGTGTGTCAGTGTGTACAACTTATGTGTGAAAAAGAAATTGGACATAGATAAATTAGGGTTGCTTACCGATCAGACAAAGGGCGAGAGAGGTTAGAGAAATTCAAACACAATCTTCAGATTTCGTCTCTGAGCCATGCGTTATCATTTAGGGCTTAGGGCTTGCCGCTTGCTTCGATCGATGGCCAACTGAAAGAGGCTCATGGAGAGAAACGTCAGGTTTGATTGAAAGAGGGAAAAGAAATATCGCTGGTGGCCGCTCCCCTCTTCTTCGTCGCTGCTCCCCTCTGATTTGTCTCTCCCCTCTTCTTCGGTGTTTGTTCTGTGTTTGAGGTTAATGCGTAATGTGAATTAGGTTTTTCTATTTATTTATAGATATTTATTTTTAAGTGTAATTTTAATAGTGTACAATTTGGAGGGAGGGTAAAAAAATTTGGTGGGAAGTCTTCCTTATTCACGGGACAAAAAATATTCCTTAAATATTATTAAATATTCATGAGAATTTTAAAAGCCATTAAAAATAAATAAATATAAAATAAAGTGAAATTTTAATTATGCCGGCCAAATAAAGTGAAATTTTAATTGTGCCCAATTTGGCGGGAGGGTAAAAAGACAAGTGGAAATCTTTTTACTTACTCACGAGATAAAAAATATGTCTTAAATGTTATTAAATATCTACAAGGATTTCAAAATGCCGTTAAAAATAAAAAAATAAAATAAAGTGCAATTTTAATTGTGTCCAATTTGGAGGGAGGGTAAAAAAATTTGGTGGGAAGTCTTTTTACTTATTCACGGGACAAAAAATATTCCTTAAATGTTATTAAATATCCACGAGAATTTTAAAAGGCCATTAAAAAAATAATAATAATAAATTAATTAATTAAATTAAATAAAGTGCAATTTTAATTGGGCCGGGTAAAAATTTACTTATTCACGGGACAAAAAATATCTCTTAAATGTTATTAAATATCCACGAGGATTCTAAAACGCTGTAAATGTAATTTTTATTGTGCCCCTTTTGGCGTGAGGTTAAAAAAAGTTGGGGAAACTCTTTTTACTTATTCACGGGACAAAAAATGTCCCTTAAATGTCAAATTTTAACACTTTATTAACAAATGTTATTTCTCCCGTTAAAGTTGAACAAGAATACCCTTAATATATTTAAATATCCATGAGGACTTTAAAACGCCGTAAAAAACATTTTCAACAAGGATCTTGCTAAATCCCCGTAAAAACATGTTCCTTTATATACCAAGCATGAGGATCCTCTCATAATCCCCGTCAAAAATAGTTTCCACGAGGCAAAATAAAGAAACCCCGTAAATAAAATGTCGTAAAAACCCACTTTTCTTGTAGTGAATCTAATGCTTTACACACAAAGAAAAGGAAAAAGGAGTGGGGTCATGCAAGGGATTGCACATATGGCACTTAAATTTCCAATCAATCCTCATCACTATCTCATATAATGCAATGCATAGATGTCAATGCAAACCACATCACACCATACCCTCTCTTGTTCACACCTCTCCTCCAAACTATCATGTACCCACATTTCCCTTTCCCGCTACCACACATCTACACATCTCATCTACACCCTCATCTCTCTCATGCCCATCAATGCCCTCATGCCATGCATATGGAACATTTCAGATTTTCAATCATTTAATCATCAACCTTCATTCATTACACAATAAACAATTTCATGATCACAATAAATTAATTTAACAACTTAGCATGCTTTAACATACACCCCATCAACCATACTAGGAGTAACACATATAATCCACCACTTAGTCATCTTTTAGCATGTCATCAGAAATTCATATACAAAATAAGCATTTAATTCCATCAAACCCATCAATTTTACAAAACTTAAACATGAACCAAACCCTAGAATTTTCATTCTTCAATTAACATCAAATTAACATGCCAAAAGAAGGGGAAAACATCAAATTAACTACTAAATCCAAGAAAAATCGTCAATTAAACAACTCTACCTCTTTGAAGAGAAACCCCCAAATTCGAGATCCCTAGCTCCTTGCAATAATGGTCTCAAATAAAAGCTCTCCTCAAGCTCATCACTTCTTCACCTATGGCTTCATCAAAATCTTTCCTTAATCTTTCCAAAAACAAGCTTGAAGTATGGAAGATATTTAGTGCAAATACATAAGTATAGAGTGAAAAAGTGAAATGCTAGAGAGGGGAAGCATTCTGCCGAAAATGAAGGGGAAAGGAAAGAAAATGGGTTGGTTAATAATTTGCCTTGTGGTCAATAGCATGCCACTTGTAAAAAATGTAAGTATTTGTCATTTTTTTTTTTTTTTTGTTAGTTATTCTTTTGCCCTTCTATAACCATTGAAACTTTATCTATATCCCAATAAATAGGAAAATTTGGTAGCATTACAATCTCCCCAACTTTAAAAGATTTCGTTCCCGAAATCAACCCACCTTAAGGAAAAAGGCGTCGTGTCTCCCACGCCCACACAAATTGCCATGGAAACTCTAACTGGTGACACAACACAACCTGCAAAGTCCATAGATTTGCACAAAATAGTTTAGGAAGTTACTCGTCTCAAGGTCGCTAGTGACCCCAAATGCTAACAAGAAAGTAAATACAAAATCTCTCGATAAAACTTGCTCACAAGCTCGAATCACAAATCCAGAGATACTTACAACACCGTTCCCAATTTTCATCGTTATCATTAGCTATGTCATAGCTGCACAACTAACTACCAGTTCCACGACTGAACAACACGATATACCAGTCAAAATATAAGAAAGAATTACTAGTACACTCACGGACACGATCCACAATGCCATTCCACATGAAACTCACTTCTAGACAAAACTTCACCTTCCCATTCACACATAAATAACCATTGACCTTTGACCCGACATCATGTCAAGGAAAGAATGACTTAGAGAAATGGTTGGCCAGGCCATTCCCATCGTTGATCTGACCTCAACACCAATATCGTTCTTGTCTTCAGGTCTAATCCTCAAGCATATACATACATCAATCCCTATGCCTAACTCTAGACACAGTCTAACCACTCCCCACATATGAGTCACATCACCACTACTAGATACTATTGTTAACTCCAAGACCTTAAGAAAATATACACACCGGTAAACAAGTTATGTCTCATGCTATATCGATCATAACCTTTCGAAACAAATCCTACAAAACCAAAGACTTCAACTCCTACCGTGGAGGTAAGTCGGATGCTCCCGAACAAACCCTCACTCGGAATCCTAACAAAAAAGGGAACTCTAAAAAGTTCTTTCGTCCACTGACACGCACAACTCCTATGTGGAGATACAAAACTCACGGATGACAAAGTCTTTACCAGGATCAACACAAGAAGAAGGAAGATCAAGTCCTCCTACCACAACAGAACAAAACACGCACCTATCGATACCTTGCATACGTTATGCCAAGAAAGAAGAACTAAACAGAGACGAAACAAGTGAAATTTTAAACCTTCCATTCGTAAAAAGAACTAGGCAATGCTAACAACTACATCGATAACCTTTAAAGTAACATGGTTAAAAGTTCTTTTGTCATCAATCTATCAATAAAACCAACACATAAAAGCTCGACTGCTTACGAAATAAACATCGTTATCCAATAAAACTGTTTAAAATACTCATATAGTCTTACAAATACATCACTGCTTTACTACATAATGGTCACAACTGATACATCATTACAACTTGAAACTCATACAAAATACCCCGAACTATATCCTGCCCCAAGGGCTCACACTAAGCATCATCAACATCGTCCAAACCGGAACCACACTACGGGATATGTCCACCATCCTGGCATAGATGAACTGACACTGCACAAAGTGCACGGGCACCTGTCCAATCTCACGGGTAGTCCCGTTACCAGAACAACTGTGTGCAGGTACCTCCTGTCACACCCAAATTCACAAGTATCCCCCGCTACAAAACTCGCAGGTATCCCCCGCTACACAGTCACAAGTAACCCCCGTTACTGTACCAGACTCACAGGTATCCCCCGTTACGACACGACACGTTGCACTAACAACAACATGACAAGATGCACAAGTGACAGTGTGGCATGACTCCCAAATAACTATGCAACACGACTGATAAACTACCATGCAACCCGACATAACTCACAGATAATAATGTAACACGACTTACAGATGACCATGCAACACAACATGACTCACAGGTAACCCCTATTACAACACGACACGACTCACAGGTATCCCCCGTTACAACACATGCCGGCTCATAGTTATCCCCCGTTACAACCGACACCACTCACATGTATCCCCCGTTACAACACAGTCACAGGTAACAACCGTTACTAAACTCACAGGTAGCCCCCGTTACCTCCAGCACAACTGTGCACAGCCAACTGCCTAATCTCACAGGTATCCCTCGTTACACAAGAATCAATCATGGTAATATCTCATCTCCTCTGTGGACAATCCTTCTTCATGTGGCCCGACTGACCACACCGAAAACAAAATCCGGAACTAGGTCTACAAAGAGGACACTCCGCTTTGCGGTGTCCTGGCTGTTTATAGTGATAACACACCACACTCGTCCTTGAAGGCTCTGAAGAAGCACCAACAATAGGGGTAGCACCTGTTGTTCACTACTCCTGAGAAAACAATGAAGCACCTCTATGCCTCTTTCTATCCTGACTCCTAGAAGAAGTACCCACACTCGTACCTCGTTCCTGAGAATCCACAATACCACTCCTTTCTTGCCAATCTTTGGCTTCTGCTTCTACCATCAGTGCTCTCGTAACCGCTTCTGAATAATTCTTTAATCCCAAAAGTGTCACCCCCGGCCTAATAGAACGATTTAGGCCGTACACAAAACGCCATGTCTTCTCCTCCTCATTCCCTAACACGTCCGTAGCGAAACGTGAGAGAGAAGTGAACTTATTCTCATACTCTGTTACTGACATGTCACCTTGCTTGAGACTATCGAACTGCGTCCTCAATTCCCGTCTCTTAGTCTGCGGGAAATACTTTTCAAAGAAAAGACTCTTGAATGCATCCCAACTCATACTGTCAATATCATACGCGTTAGTCATGGTCTTCTACCATGTTGCTGCGTTACTAACAAACTTGTACGTAGCTAAGGTGATCTTCAACCGATCATCAGGCACTGTTATTGCCCTGAAATGCTTTTCAACTTCATCTAACCAATCATCCGCCACCAACGGGTCAGGACCTCCCTCAAATGCTACTTTTATGAGTTTGTTAAACTGGAGTAGGTACTCAAGGTTCCGCTCCATCTCCACCCCCCGTGGCTGAATAGCCGGTTATGGTACCACTTGAGGAGCTATAGTACTCGCTAAATTCTGAAAGGCTAAGGCTACAGCCCTTACTACTAGAACTTCATCCTCCGGTGCTTGTGGATCATCATCCACCTCTCTTTCTCGGCCCTATCCCATTGAAACCCTATCTGGTTGGGATGGCCCTTCACCTGCTCGTTTCCCAACTTCAT